GGCAGCCTGGGGTTCACAGGTTCAGATCCCAAGTGTGGACCTATGCACTGCTTATCAAGCCATGCTGTGGCAGGCGTCCCACATATAAAGTAGAGGAAGATGGGCACAGATGTTAGCAATCTTCCTCAGCAAAAAGAGGAGGACTGGCAACAGATGTTACCACAGGGCCAATCTTCCTCACCAAAAAAAAAAAAAAAAAAAAGACAGTAATATTAGATGTTGCTTAGGGTCATATACATATTTACTAAAAGTATAAAATGACCAAATGACAAACACCAAATTCAGGATGGGGGAGTACATAAGATGGGGAAGGGGTACACAGAGGGCTTCAACTGTACTGACTTTATTTTTTAGACTGGGTGGGGAATAAATGGTATTCCTTACACTGTATTCTACAGATGCACAGTTTACCATATCTGAAATGGGGATGTGCCTTGCAATCATGTCATGGTAGCATTTCTTTCTTTGTGAGACAGAAAACGATGGTTCCTCTTACAATCAGTGGCATCTCAGATACATCTGAAATATGGTATTATTTATTATATCCTCTGTATTCCTTTCTTTGTGTGTGTGTGAGGAAGATCAGCCCTGAGCTAACATCCATGCCAATCCTCCTCTTTTTGCTGAGGAAGACCGGCTCTGAGCTAACATCTATTGCCAATCCTCCGCCATTTTTTTCCCCCAAAGCCCCAGTAGATAGTTGTATGTCATAGCTGCACATCCTTCTAGTTGCTGTACGTGGGACGCGGCCTCAGCACAGCCGGACAAGCGGTGCGTGCCCGGAATCCGAACCGGGCCGCCAGTAGTGGAACGCGCGCACTTAACCGCTAACCCACAGGGCTGGCCCCCTCTGTATTCCTTTAATATTGCAAAATGAATTAAAAATTTGCGTACTTGGGTTGTAACAAAAATACAGAAGTTACAATTAATTTAATATAATAAAATAACCAATTCATCTGAAAAATCCAGGCTTTTGGGAACATAAGAAGAGTTCAAAGGTTAAAAAAGAATGTATATTAAAGGGGAGTAATGGGCCGGCCCCATGGCTTAGCGGTTAAGTGCGCGCGCTCCGCTGCTGGCGGCCCGGGATCGGATCCCGGGCACGCACCGACGCACTGCTTGTCCGGCCATGCTGAGGCCACGTCCCACATACAGCAACTAGAAGGCTGTGCAACTATGACATACAACTATCTACTGGGGCTTTGGGGGGAAAAAATAAATAATTAAAAAATTTAAAAAAATAAAGGGGAGTAAGAATCGGATCTGGGCCTTTAAGAATTTAAGGCTTCAGACAGGATAGGGTAGGGTATTTCAGACAAGTGAAATAGTAGAGCAAGGTAAAATTACTAGTGAGAACGACGCATTCAGAGAACTGTGAGGGGCTTTTTGTTGTTGTCGTTAAGAGATAACAGATGTGCCAAGCGTATTAAGACTATATCAGTCAGCAATATATAGGACTGACAGGAAGGGGGAAAGCAGAGATAAGAATAAAGCCACCTAGAAGATAATATATTTCACATGGCAGATAATGAAAGCTTGGACCAGAGTGGCAGCAATGACAATAAAGAAGAAAAGAGAGATTTCTGTTGAATATGTAGTAATTGTCAAGAAGGCTGAGGCAAGAGACTTAAGAATAGTTTTACCTCAACTATCTTAAAACATATGAAGAGGAAAAATAGTATTAAATAATTAGTCCAGACCAGTGGATCTCAACCCAGATTTATATAAAAAATATCCACGGAACATTGAAAAAAAAAAAGAATTGCATGCCTGGGCCCTACCCTGGGACTGGCTGAATGATTCCTCCAGGAATCCAGGAGGGAACCAGGGGTGTAGGGGTGTGTGTGTAAGTGGCAGGACTGGGACAGAAAAGCATTGCCCTAAGCATTGGCAATATCCTTCAGTTCATCAAATGCCCAAAGGGAGGACCTGTTTAAGGAGTTCCAATGAGGCTGGAGGAGACTGCCCTCTTCAAATTCACCAGGAATGGAACTCAGGTCAAGTTTGAAGGTGAACATCAAGATTAACCACTACTTCTTTCACCCACTCCTACATAATATTAAAACACAAATAATCCCATCCACCTTCCAGGGATGACACCTAGCAGTTAATAATGAATCCCAACATATACCTACCCAACAATAATTACTTCATCTCCGCAATGTGTCAAATGCTATTTTAGCCTCTGACAGAAAAATTGATATAGTCCTTTCCCTAAAGGAATACCAGTCTGGCAGGGATGACAGTATTATTAGGTCCCAACGGAGAGGAGAGGGCAACCAGTTAGTTGTCCAAGGAAGGAAGAAGTAACTTTTGAGTTAAATCTTGTTGAAAAGATGGGGGAGGGAGGGGGATTCCAAGTAAAGGAATCAATATGTATAAAAAGAAATATTAAATATTCCATTTTATACTATCTATCCGTACAGTCTTTTTCTATACTCTAGAAACACTGTATATCAAATATTATTATTTACTATTACTGTCCTAGAGGACAGGGCACAAATCTACAACATAAATAGATGCTGAGGACTTAAAACTTACCTAACAATGATCAATAAATTTTCAGAAATTATCAATAAATTTTCAGAAGTTATCACAAACATTAAACTAGTGCTATTTATTTCCCCAAATTCAGATACTCCTATGTTTACAAATTACATAGATGATTAAAACTCCACAATGAAAATACTAGTCTACAAACTCAACTGCAAAGAAATCTTTCACTTTCACTTGCAAAATGAAAGTGGAAAAAATACCCTGAAACAAATGAGAAAAAGAACTTGCTCAACATAGGTCCATTTCACTCTTGATAATGATTCTTTAACTGTTCCTATCTAACTTGTGAGTTAGTACTCCTGATCTGTACAAAAGAATACAGCAGTCAGAAAATATTTCCAGCTGAAGTATTAATAAATAAAAATAGTTGAATGTGAAGAAATAAGGACATCATCACCAGGAGACTTCCTTGATTCCAAACTACTCATTCAGAAAACTGATCCTTCTTGCCCACATTGTGGAGGATGACCTTACCTTCTAGACTAATTAAAAGCAGACACCACAGGAGAGATCCACACAATTTGGGGGATATGTAGTTTTTAGGGAAGCTCATGCAACGACTTAAAGTAGGAAAGAACACCTTCAGTTGAAAAAAATAATAAAATCTCCTTTAAACCAACAGTCTAATAGCCCACAATACTCCAGCAATTCACTTCATGTTGACCCCTGTAGTCACAGAAGCACCATCTAGTTTTGATACAACTCCATACAGCCATTCTAACTACAGTGACATGCCCTCAAAATTAACAGCATGGTTATGTGATTGTGAAGAGATGTTTCTAAGTCAGAATGTTAGCTCTAGAGATGCATAAAGATCACCTATGATGTGTAATCAGTACTGCCAGTTAGCCACAGGAATGCCCTGGGTGTAAAATCTGTCACAAGCTGAAAACAAAACTTGTTGCCTCTAGCACATCCTTCTGGTTCAGGTGGTCTTCACTACAGAACTTCTAGTGTAACCCTCAACAAGTCAGCTGAGCCCCTGCAGAGTGAAGAGAAGAGTTAGAAGCAAGTGGAAGTTAACTTTGTTTTACTGATACTTTTGAATACAAATAGATTTTGACCAAGGGTCACTGCGGCAGGAGGAGAAAAATTAAGTATTGTAATTAGCATGGATATACTGAGCTATCCCAAGCATTAAGATAACCATTGTTTGCTGTGGTAAAGATTTTGGGGTTTAAAAAAACACTCAAGTTTACTGGGCCAGAAGTCCTATTTGCTGTATATCCCCCTCCCCCACCTTTTTATTTCAGGTTAGTTCTATTCTGAGGAATTTACGTCCTTGTTCAGTTAAATCACCCTGAGTATTTCTCCAACACTGGTTACTTTCTCATTGGAGTCTTTTCTGGCATTTTTTCAGAAATCCTAATTAAAACTGACAATTTAGACAGATTCTGACGGAATTACTCTTGTTCACCCACTCTTTTTGATGGGATTCTACTGGGCTGAGAAGTGATCAGCTTAACGGAGAAAGTGTGCACCATGCGATAGACAAAATAATTGCCTGCCTCAAGAAAGCACTTATGCCCATTCTGCAGCCACTGAGTGACCTTGGCTAGAAACCAATGGCTGCGGGGCGTGGGGCAAGAAGAAAGGAAGTACCCTGGGGGCCCGCGGCCTCTGCACTTGGTGAAACGTTCGCTTCCAGTATAAAGCCTTAGGACGCCTCCTCGTCTGTAGAATAGAGTACATTAACACTGACTCACCCAGAAACCGTGAAGATACCAATCGAAAGGGGGTGGGGGGTATTAAACCCTCTGCAAAAAGGAAGTGCCGCAAGAGCACCAAGGTAAGGATGTGGCCCTGCGCGAGAGAGCCTTCGGGTTTTCCTTCCCGGGTCTCGCTCCTAGGCGATCAGCACCGACTTCTCCGCTCTCAGCGAGGTAGCCTGGCTCCCCGGGGATGGGACATCTGCCGGCCGCAGCAGGGCCCGCTGGAATGGTGGAGGGCACCAACGCTGCGTAGGCCCAACCGTTCCCGCGCCTTCGCCCCCGGCCCAGCACGGCCCTTCCTCGCCCGCCCCGGCTTAGTGGCCTCACCAGGGGGCGAAGAACTCGACGAGCATGAGGCCCGCAGAGCCCGTGTCAGAGATGCGACTCTCGAAGTTGTCGTCCGTGAGTTCCAGCACGTCGGAGGCAGCGGCGAGGCGGGCCGCGGCGAGGAGCAGCGCCACGCCCGGGAACAGCGCTAGGCGGCGGAGGCGCATGGCGGCGAGGTGAGGTGGGGGCGGCCAGGAGGGTCGGGGCTCGGCGGGGACTGCAAAGGCCGGGCCGGCGACCACGCACGCTCTTCCTGCGCGTCTGGCCCAGGCGGACCTGCAGCCGGAGGTCCCAACCCCCCAGCCCGGCTCCGGCCGCAGTGTGGCAGCCGCCGATTGGCTGCGCGGCGCCAGCGTCTGGCGGGCGGGACCGGCTGGTAACCGCCGAGTGGCCGGAGTGCGGGGCGGGGCCGAGGCGGCGAGCGCGGTTGGGAGGGTCCTGGGCCAGGGGTTGGGGCTGGGCCGGGGTGAGTCGAACCCGGGCAGCGGGCGGGGCGGGGCGGAGCTGGAAATGGGGCGCTGCGAGGTTGGGAGCACACCCTGAGCTCGTCGTGCGTGGGGAGAGCCGAACACAGGGGGCGCCAGAGCCGGAGGCGGAGGAGTGAAGTCAGGGCTGAGTGGGCGGAAGAGAGCCTGGGCTGAGGTGAGGGCCGGAAGTGGGAATTGAGAGGAGGAGCTGAAACCCGAGGGAGCGTTTAGGTGGACGCTTGGGACGGGACACATTTTCAAAATGTCAGGCTGTTGCATTTTGTCCAATTCCTCTTAACTTGGTTTTTCTTTCGGCAGCCGCCCTAAGCCCTCCCACGACCGCCTCACTGCGTTGCCTGATTCGCTCCGGTCCGGGGGGGCGCCCGAGTTCCTCTTTGTCCAGCCCCAGGACTCCTGCTCTTGTGGCTGCTGCTTTTAATTGGAAATACTGCCACACAAGTGAAGGTGCCTGGCCACTTAATCAACTGTGCAGTATCTCTCTTACGATTCTTATCTCCTTTTGTTTAAAAAAACCTTGAGTCTTGGTATAATGTGTTTGTCTTAAGGGCAAAGAGAGTAGGAGGGGAAGAAAACCTCTGATCCTTGGTGCAGCTCCAAGAAGGAAATGACACTTGATTCTTCCATTTTCTTAACAGACATGGCCACTTATCACCAAGCAGGACACATGCAACTGCCCCGAGCTGATGCCATTCGTTCACGTCTCATTGATACTTTTTCTCTCATCGAGCATCTGCAAGGCTTGAGCCAAGCTGTGCCACGGCACACTATCCGGGAGATACTTGGTCAGCAGCCTGTTTCTTCACTAGGATAAATTTAAGACTCCTCTCCACACTCTCCAAAGAGTAGAAAGCAGACAATTTTAAGGGTGGAAAATTCAGGGGAGATTGCCTTGGTTGCTAGTTTGGAGGTTACACCAAACTTGGTAAATCAAAGGCTTTATTAATAAAACTTTGAATCTGGGAGATAGAACCCATGTCACTCACTTTTAGGCCTAGGATAACTACTAGCCCTGGCACTTGGAAGTTTCTACCAAAGACACTAAAACTTTGAGGGCTGAACCTGTTGCCTTTATTCTTGGGCATGGACAGTGTTGGTCATAAGCAATGTATTAGCTCTTACTCCAGACTGTTATTAGTTGCTGTGAGACGTAGCAGCAAGGCGAGTCCCTGCACTGGGCGGCCCATTATGTAACCAGTATCCCTGCCCCCAGTCCTACCTACTCTTCATATCCCCCAGAGACTTCTCTTTATATTTATCCACTATCCCTTTTTTGTTTTTGTGTAGATCCTTCCCATCAGAAGAAACTTATGTTGGGAGATCAACACCAGCTTGTGCGCTTCTCCATAAAGCCTCGTCGTGTAGAACGGATTACACATGGCCAGAGGATGATGAGCAGCCTTCGAGTGCGCTGCAGTCAGAGGCCACCTCTTTCTTTGTGGGCTGGATGGGTCCTTGAGTGTATCCTTTCATGCCAGTCATTTTTATCCCATGGATCTCCTGTCTTTCTTGCCTCATTATCTACCTAGTGACTTATTTTTCCCTTTCCAAACTCCATTTTCTTATTCTCACTGGTTCTGTTCTTACCCATATTATTTCACCTACACAAATCAGAAAGAACTCCACTCTGTACATTTCCTTAAGAGAAGATAGGTCCTCTCTTCACAAACTTCATCATCTTCCTCATCTTCTTGAATACGATTGTACTGATGGTTGAAATAGGTGAGAACTGACAGTGAATGAAAGAGGAGGCGAGTGGGACTCATTTTTCCTTTAAATTGATCGTTTTTGAATTTATTTGAATTGTGATAGGGACAATTATATTAAGTCTCCTGGAGTAGGATTTTTGCAACTGCTAAGACCTAGAAACATTTGGAGGGCTCTCGAGAATGTAATAGATATAAGGTGGTCTAGACACTTAAAAGTAAGGTGTAATAGATTCACAAGGAACTGGAGATGGGAAGACCAGTTATATTTCTTGTGTCGGTTTAGTCTAATATTTGTTTAAATGAATCTTTTCTATTAGAGATATTGGTGCCTATCAGTGAGTGATCCAACATTACATTTTTACAAGTGTGTTGAGAAAGATTATTTAAGTAGGAATAAGAAAGCTCACAAAGTATGTAAAGTTAGGTACAACTAAGACATAAGATGAGCCAAAAAATGACTTAAAGAGTAAATGACTCTAAAAGAAATCATAAATTGTATGAAATGCATTAGAAACAAAAGAATGTCTGGAATCCGTGAGCTCATTTGATTATCATCTCAAACTGACTGGTCAGAAGTGATGAAAGGGCAGTAGAAGTACTCACTTCCTTGTTTCATCCTCACTGTTTTAGGGAATTTTCTCACTTTAAAATAGTCTTTTAATGCACTCAGGTCAAAGATAATTAAATACACAATAGTTCATGTAATTGACCCACTACAGTATACTATACATTTTTGTGTGTGTGTGAGGAAGATCAGCCCTGAGCTAACATCCATGCCAATCCTCCTCTTTTTGCTGAGGTAGACTGGCTCTGAGCTAACATCTATTGCCAATCCTCCTCCTTTTTTTCCCCAAAGCCCCAGTAGATAGTTGTATGTCATAGTTGCACATCCTGCTAGTTGCTGTATGTGGGACACTGCCTCAGCATGGCTGGACAAGTGGTGCGTCAGTGCATGCCTGGGATCCCAACCCAGGCCGCCAGTAGTAGAGCGAGCGCACTTAACTGCTAAGCCACGGGGCCGGCCCCAAGTATACTATACATTTTTTTTTTTTTAATTTTCTTCTTTCTTTCTTTCTTTTTTTATTTATTTATTTTTTTGTGAGAAAGATCAGCCCTGAGCTAACATCCATGCTAATCCTCCTCTTTTTGCTGAGGTAGACTGACTCTGAGCTAACATCTATTGCCAATCCTCCTCTTTTTTTTTTTTTTCCCCCAAAGCCCCAGTAGATAGTTGTATATCATAGTTGCACATCCTTCTAGTTGCTGTATGTGAGACGCGACCTCAGCATGGCCGGAGAAGCGGTGCGTTGGTGCGTGCCCGGGATCCGAACCTGGGCCGCCAGCAGCGGAGCCAGTGCACCCAACCGCTAAGCCACGGGGCTGGCCCTACTATACATTTTGAAGTGTTTTATTTCCTCCCCATGGAGGTGAGGGTTTTAAACTGAGTCACCCACATTTCCTATTACTTGTATAATAACTGGCATGTATTTGCCTTGTGAGGTTAGGGATATAGTCATAAGCTTTGGAATAAAGTAAATCGCGGTAAATGTACAGGATTCCCTGGCTCTAATGGACAAATCAAAACAGCATAGCACTAACCATTCTGTTTGGTAAAACAGCCAAACATGAAACATGATCACTGTGCCAGAGGATAGATGGATTGCCCAAGTGGAAATTACCTGGCAAGTTCATGAAAATTGTGTCTTATTAAGTACATTCTCTCGGTAGAAAGGCAGGAGGGATTTTGCAAAGGGAAATAATTTGTGACTAACAGATTTCTTTGAACAGACTAATTTATGTGATAAACAGTAAGACTTTGTTTAGGCTTTTAAAACACAATTTTTCCAGATCACAAAGAATGTTGTTATAGATAGGGAAAAAAATAGTAATTAACAAACTTCTTTAGATCGAAGCTCCCCAGTCTTTTTTTATTGTGATTTTGCTTGCCAGTAATACATGTATAATCTTGAAAACCTCCTTAGGAGTTTTAATCATTTCATTATTTTTATGTGATATAAAAAAGCAAGTTAAAGTAAAAATAATATTTGAGACTAGCATATTATTAAATAGTGTATTTTAGTGTTTATTATATAATTTTAATAATCATACTATATGAGCAAAGTTTTACTTTTGCCATTTTATAAGTGATTCATGCTATTTTTGAAGAAAATATATGATTTGTCTACAAATGAATTTTTAAATGACATTATATATTGGTTTGGGGATCAAATATATTTATTTTCTGTATTAAATTTTTTAAATTTAATTAAATTTTTTTGTTCCTTTTAAAAAATTGAGATATAATTGACATATTAGTTTCAGGTTTACAACATGTATTACATGTTAAATACATGTTTTATATGTTAAAGTGTAGATGGAAATTTAATTATGTGTTAGGGCATAAAAAATAGAAAAAGCCTATTTTCGCAATAATATTGGTAATTCTGCTTTGCACTTTAAACGTCAATGGGCTTATTTTTTATCACTTTCATATTTTGTTTCTAAATGATGAGAGAGAGAGAAAAGGAAGATTTGGCTCATTTGCAAGCCTTTCTCTAAAAGTAACACATTGCAAGTGTGAATAGTCCTTATTTCCAACAAAAAACTGAGTATAACATTATATATTATATTTTTGAGGTTCTAGACATATCTTGATGTGCAATATAATATTTTTGATCAGCTGAATGCAATTTATAGAATCTGATGAAGATCATTTTGAGATAAACTTGCAGAACTGTTTTTACGTTCTTCATGAAGTTATGTTTCAACATCAGTGTTCCTTACTTTGTTATGGATGTAGTTGGCCAAAATATTACTAAAAACAATAACAATTTAAAACTGTGTAAGTGTCAAAATCTACACAGCAGTTTGTATTGCTCAAGGTGATTGAGAATGGTCTTCTGATCTTATTAACTGATAAACATGTCAGTCATAGTGCATTTGGAGACTCTTAGATTGTTCTGTTTCAAAGGGAAACATGTTAAATTATTATTTAGCTTTTAAGCCTATTTTGATCTCAGTTTTTTTCTGCAGCACGATCTAAATCTATTAAATGTATAAAAGAGACGAAGAGGGTTGAAAGATGAAGGCAATGAGTTAAGAAATAGCAATTGCAAATAATAGGGTTCTAGAGAGGAAATTTAGGATTCAAATTGGTTTGCTGAACAAAATCAATTTTAGGCAGAGAAGAAAGGGAAAGTTTTAAAAGCTAACAAATAAAGAACCAAATAATTTCTTGGTTGGTAACTCAATATGCCCCATGAATCTGGCTTCTTGTTTCTACATTTCTTATAAAGCACATTAGATACCATGGCCCTACATTTTCTTTCTGTTCTCAAGGTCGCTTGCTTCTTTGTGAAGTTTGGGACTGGGGTAACAGTACAGCATACAGGGTTGGTGGTAGTTAAGAGAGCAATCCCTTGGTGGCTGTGTGACCCCAGAGTGGGAAGGCAGTGACTTGCAGCTATTAGACATACTGATACCAGCAGGAGATGAGTCGTAGCTATTTTTCGTGTTCAATTCTGTCCTCTCCTGTATTTCACAGGCTGAAGCAACAACAGTGTTAAGAAGAGAAACTCAAAGAAAAGTGGAATAGCAGTGGGCACAACTGTGGTTTATACGTTTCTGATCATTCTCTATCATTCATTTTCCCACTTCTTATCCTTTATTCAGTCTTTGTTCTATTCTCACAGAATTGCTTGAATCCTCAAATACCAAACTGTGGCCACTGAAGCTGACTCTGGAGGTGGCAGCTTGGTTCATCTTGCTTATTTTCATCTTGGAGATCCTTCTTATGTGGCTATCCAGCTTTTTCCTTTTCTGGAAGAATGCCTGGAATGTCTTTGACTTTTTTGTCACCATATTGGTAAGCATAGATAGCCTGAGGATTAGTTTAGTGGGCTGGGGAATGTGCCTAGTGAATCAAAATGACAAGAAAAATTAAGATAATTAGATCACAGGAAGAACCAAAAATAGAAATGTACCTAACTTCCTTATTTTGATTTTTTTCCCTAAAACTAAAAGTCAGTCATTGCAGGAGTGCTTGGTATTAGCAGCGGGGCAGAATCTAACCACAACATTAACCCCAGCAATAACATCTACCAGTTACTAAGCATTACTAAGTGCCAGGTACTGTTCTAAGTGTTTTACATGTGTTTTCTTATTTGAGCACCACAACAACCCAATGAGATAAGCACTATATTTATCCCCTTTTTATGTCTGAGCAAGTTGAAGTACAGAGTTTAAGTAATTTAGTATAGAAAGACTGAATAGAAAACAATCCCCAGAGAATGCTATTCAAGGGATAATGCCCAAGGAACTATGAAGAAGATGAGGTAAAGAAGGGGCAACTGTGCATGGGTGCTTTTGGGGATATTTTACTCATAATCTGTGTTTCCCACAGTCCCTGCTTCCTGAGGTTGTGGTGCTGGTAGGGGTAACAGGCCAGTCTGTATGGCTCCAGTTGCTGAGGATCTGCCGGGTGCTAAGGTCTCTCAAACTCTTTGCGCGATTCCGTCAAATTCGAGTCATTATTTTGGCCCTGGTCAGGGCCCTCAAGGTGATTTGACTGTTGCAGCTAAACCAGGTGGGCAAGGTGGATGAACATGGGGATTTAACATGAAACAAGTTTAGGTGCCTTCAAAGAAGGCAATGAAAGATTCTGTGAAATGTTATTGGATGAAAAAGGGCTGGGGATAAGCTGCTGTAGTCTAGAGATGCCTGGGATCAGGACTGGAAGTGAGGGTTTGGTGGAGGATTGCCAGGGTGGGCTTGACTGGGCTGTAGGAGGAAATCAGCCTGGTCTGGCCCAGCTCTGACTCAAGGTCATGGCCTCTAGAGCATGACCTTCCTCTTGATGTTGCTGCTCATCTTCTTCTACATTTTTGCTGTGGCTGGTGTCTACTTCTTTGAGGATTACACCCGTTCAACTCGCCAGGACCTGGAGTACCACATGTTCTTCTCGTAGGCAGGCCTGGGGAAAGCCTGGGTGTGGGGAGAGTGTTGGGACAAAAGACTGGGAAGCTAGTCCAAAGTATAGTAATGCAAAAAGTGTAGTCTATTATAAGAAACAGGAATAGAACACAGTAAGGAGAGGGAAAGAGAAAGCAACGGAGTAGTGAGTGGTATCAGCTCTAATTTTGAGGATAGGGCAGTCAGTTCCAAGTTTGGTCTGGCTTTCACAAATTCAAACACACCTTCATCAACCATCTTTATTTTATTTATTTTTTTGAAGATAGACTTGGCTTTATTAAATGATTCATGAATCGGGCAGCATCCCATCTAGCAAGTAGAGAAGAGCTCCCAACCATCTTTGAATAGTAGTATATGCCAGTGGTTAAGCCCTCATGTCTATGCCTCATTTCAGTTTCCTCTTTTGAAAAATGGGAATAATAGTAGTACTGCCTCATAAGAGTATAGAAGTGAATGAGGTAGAGCATTTAAGCACCTAGCACAGTACTTAACACATTGTAAGTGATCAATAAATGTTACTGTGACTCTCAGACATGGTCACTGGTTTTGCCCCAATCTCTCGGTGTGGGGATTACACATGCACATACCTATACCTGTTCAAAAGTAAAATCCTGATAAGATCTTTCTAGAGAACTGATTACTAGAAGAAAGTCATTTTGGATTTAGAGGAGATAATGTTATTTATGAATTAGAATCTAATCTTGTCAGTACCTGTCAGGTCTCTCTTAGACTAACAGGTAGTTTTTTAAGAGTATTGAGTTAGGAAAGTCCTGTAGTTCATCCTATTCAGGCCCTGATGTTTTCAATAAATTGTATATGGAGGATTAAGAATGAAAGAAGGAGAATTTAGATACCTTCCTGAGACCTTTTGTGATATATTCGTTATCCATTATTTGGGATCACATGTTTATGTCATCTATCACATATGTCACTAAATAGGAATGATGTTTGCTAAATTTGTGAGTGATCTTCTCTTAGGTGAAGTCCATAGCACAGTGGAGAATGAACTTACAAAAAATGATACGTAGTTAGTGATTCATTCAATTTTTAGAAATTCAGTCAGTACCTATTGAGTACCTACTATGCCCCAGGTACTAATGGAATAGTGAGAGATATTCATAGATTATTCATGATAAAGGAAAACCTAATAAAACAACTCAAACTGAAGAATGATTAGCTGAAAAATTGGCTATGGTAGAAAAGGAGCTCAAGTCAGAGGAAAATACAAAGAAATGCTCTTATGTTGCTTTAAGAGTAAGAATGATACTGTTTCTAAGAGGTTGAGATCTCTGTTCTATCTATACACACACCTCCTTTTTCTTTAGGGACCTGCTGAATTCCCTAGTGACAGTGTTCATTCTCTTCACCATGGATCATTGGTATGCATTGCTTCAGGATACCTGGAAAGTGCCTGAAGTCAGCCGTGCCTTCAGCAGCATCTATGTCATCCTTTGGTTGCTACTGGGTTCCATTATCTTTCGAAATATCATAGTAGCCATGATGGGTAAGCATGAAAGAGGTGAAACCTGGTGGGAGGGGTGGTTGGAGAGAAATTAGAATGAAAGCTAGAATTGGTGGATTATGGATAGAGAGAACCTGATGTAGCAGGAAGGCTTGGGTCCTGGAATGAATATTTCACTTGGTATCTCCCCACCCAAGCCATCTCCCCAGGTCTAGTCACCATCATGTCTCAACTCCTAATGGCCCTTTGGGGCAGTTACTAACTTCCAGAATATCAGGAATGAGCTGAATGAGGAGATGACACATCTGGAGGTTCAGCACAAAGCCGACATATTCAAGCGGCAGATTATCCAGAGGTCTGCTTCCCCACTTTCAAACCCAACTTTAGTTCTCAAGGGTTTCCTGACCTCATTCCCTGTTTCTGCTCCTTTGTCTTGGCTCCATTTCTCCCTTTGTGACAGAAGATTTGCCCCAGGGTTAGAATTCCCCAGCTCTAGACTATTGCCTGATTCTTTATCCACTGTCTGGGCTTCCCTGCTCTTTTTCACCCCTTTACTACAATTTGTTCTCCTCATTCAGTTTTCTTCGCTTTCTGATCTGATTTCTTTTCTTTTTTCCCTACTATACTCCTGCTTCAGTATAACTCTCTTCACTCTTTTGTGTTTTTTGCTTTGCAGGAGACAAAACCTTTCTCCTGAGGCACTGAGGTCAAGCCTTAGCAAAACCGATGCCAGGTTAGTAGTGTATATGTGAACTGGAGGGGATGCATATGAAGGAGGAGAGGGTAGAAAATTAAAGATGAAGATTGGCTTTGAGAGAGCATTCATTCAGTAACTGTTTATTGTAGTGGATTGAATGGTCGCCCCCAAAAACGTAAGTCCATGTCCTAACCTCCTGGAACCTGTGAACATGACCTTATTTGGAAAAAGGGTCTTTGCAGATGCAATTAAGTTGAGGATCTTGAGATGTGATCATCCTGGATTATCCAGGTGGGCTCTACATCCAGTGACAAGAGGGCTTGTAAGAGACAGAAGAGGAGAAGACATAGACATAGAGAATAGGAGAAGGAGATGTGAAGATGGAGATAGAGATTGGACTGATGTAATCACAAGCCAAAGGAAGCTGGTGGATGCCAGGCAACTACCAGAGGCTAGAAGAAACACGGAACCTTCTTTCTTAGAGCTTGCAGAGGGAGTATGGCCCTGCCAACACCTTGATTTCAGACTTCTGGCTTCTAGAATTGTGAGAGAATGAATTTCTGTTGTTTTAAGCTAGCAAGTTTAGGGTAATTTGTTACAGAAACCACAGGAATCTAATACAAGACCTTCTATGAAACAGATGCTATTCTGGACCCCAAGTGTTCAGCAGTGGACAAGAGAGCAGAAGGAGAAACAAGAGACTCATTTATCCATTCAACAAATAATTATTGAATACTTATTAGGTGCTTGGGATAGATCAGTGAACACAATAGGCAATAATAATGCCTACTGTCATGGAGCTTACATACTAGTAGGGAGAAAGAGACAATAAACAATGAACGTATTAAACAAGTAAGTTAATATGTTAAAATATAAGCATGAAAAAATAAAAAGTGAGGGGCTGGCCTGGTGGCGCAAGTGGTTAGGTGCACGCGCTCTGCTGCGGTGGCCCGGTGCTCGCGGGTTCGGATCCTGGGTGCACACTGCCGCACTGCTTGTCAAGCCATGCTGTGGCGGTGTCCCATATAAAGTGGAGGAAGATGGGCACGGATGTTAGCCCAGGGCCAGTCTTCCTCAGCAAAAATAAATAAATAAATAAAAGAGGAGGATTGGCAGACGTTAGCACAGGGCTGATCTCACAAAAAAAAAAAAAGTGAAACAGGTTAAGGGGGATTGGAGTATAGGGTGGAGGTTGCAGATGGGTTGTAATTTTAAACAAGTTAGGGTGGTCTCATTGAAAAGGTAACATTTGAGCAAAGATTTGCAGGAGGTGAGAGGATTACTATGTGGATATCTATGGGAAGAGTGTTATAAGCAGAGGGAACAGCTAGTACAAAGGTCCTAAGCCAGAAGCATGCCTGATCGGTGTTTGAGAAACAGCAAGGAAGCCATTGTGACTGGAGCAGAGGGAAGAATCATAGGAGATGAGGTCACAGAGATAATGGGGACCTGATCCTGTAGGGCTGTGAGGGCCATTGTATGGACTTAGGCTTTGACTCTGAGTGAAATGGGAAGCAGAGCAGAGCAGTGACATGAAATGACTTACCTTTAAGAGGCACTACTCTGGTTGCTGTGTTGATGATAGACTGTAGAAGAACAAGGGAAGGAGCAGAGAGACAAGTTAGGAGGCTATGCTGCTATCCATGCAAGAGGTGATGATAGCTCAGACTAGAGTGCTACCAGTGGTACCAGTGAGAAAAGATATATTTTGAAGGTAGAGTCAACAGGATTTCTTGATGGATTGGATGTGAGATTTGAAAGAAGAGTTAAGGATGACTCCAAAGTTTTGACCTGAGAAACTGGAAGGATGGATTAGCTGAGATAGGGAAGGCTGTGGGTGGAAGAGGTTAGGTGGGCAATTTTGGTTGAATCTGAGGTGTCCATTAGACATTCAAGCAGTGATATGTGAGTAAAAGTTGTATATACAAGTCTGGATTGAGGAGTGAGGTCTGGACTAGAGGTTTAAATTTGCGTTTAGTAGGCATTTTGACTCAGGAGATGAGATCACCAAAGGAGTGACTATAGATGGAGAAGATAAAAAGACCAAGGGCCGGCCTGGTGGCTTAGCGGTTAAGTGCGCGTGCTCCGCTACTGGCGTCCCGGGTTCGGATCCCGGGCGCACACCGACGCACCGCTTCTCTGGCCATGCTGAGGCCACATCCCACATACAGCAACTAGAAGGATGTGCAACTATGACATACAACTATCTACTGGGGCTTTGGGGAAGGAAAAAAGGAGGAGGATTGGCAATAGATGTTAGCTCAGAGCTGGTCTTCCTCAGCAAAAGGAGGAGGATTAGCACGGATGTTAGCTCAGGGCTGATCTTCCTCACAAAAAAAAAAAAGAAAAAAATATAAAAAGACCAAGAGCTGAGCCTGGGAGCCCTGTACTATGAAGAGATGGAATCAAGGGGGCAAAGGCTATAGTTGTGATGTAATAGGCATAGGGCCATGGAATAGAGAGCTAAAGCTTGGCCAAATAAGGTGGGATGTGGAGTGTGGAAACCTGAGTAAAGCTGAGCACAGAAGCTATGTGGTGAGGGGCACTAATAGGGATATACCAGATGGAATAATTGAGGTTGGAAGTGCTTAAGCTCAGATTTTGGAAGCAGTTTGGCTCTCATTGCCTTAAGTCCCAGCCTTAGGGGATGGCTAGGGCCAGGACCAGAATAATGAAGGAACTAGCCACATCTTGTAAATGTTTTTGAAGCAATAAAATTTCCCCTTTCACTTGTAGAGATGCCAGTCAACCAGAGGAATCTTTGGTCTTAGAAGCTTCTCAAGAAAAGTCTCAACACAGTGCAGCTGAAGAGGGTTCAAGAGCATCTGCATCAAAAACAAAAGAGTCCTTGTCAAAAATGAAAAAGTCCTCATCTTCCTCTTCCTCTTCCTCCTCCTCATCTTCATCTTCCTACTCTTCCTCTTCTTATGACTCCAGATATTTTGACTCTCTTGGTAAGCAGAGTGTTTCTTCCCCTTGAATTCAGACTCCTCTTTTCTAGGAGACATCCTAATCTTAATAGGAGCTCTCCAACTATGTCTACTTCCCAAGTTTCTCCACCAGTCTGATTTTCTGGTCTCAATTACTTTCTTTGTGCTTCTTCAGTTCCCCTATGCTTCTGCTTAATTTTGCCTAAGTATGCCTGTGGCTGTCTTTGCTTATCGTACAAAGTGGTCTCTTGGTGATGCACCCTTTTCCCTCTCTGCTTTTCCCCCAATACCGTAGGATTTATCAGCTCTTACCCAACTTCCATGAATCTAGATATGTTTTTAAGAACCATTCCTCCCTCCAGGTCAGTTGGACTGGGAGACTCATGTGCACCAGAATCTGCCTGGGCTAATGGAAATGGATCAGGATGAACGTGTTGTTTGGCCTAGAGATTCACTCTTCCGATATTTTGAGTTGCTAGAAAAGCTTCAGTATAACCTGGAGGAGCGTAAGCGGTTACAAGAGTTTGCAGGTATGGATTTAGGGCAATCATGGGGACCAGGAGTTAAGTACATTGGAATAGCATATATAACTGGAGAGAAGGAGGAGGGTGTCACCTATTTTGGCATCTCAGCCTCTGAACTTCCACCTCACAGCTAAAAAAGGCAAATCCTTGGTTTGGCATGTCACATTCTGGGCATATGTCCTGATTTCTTCTAACCTAGAGAGAACCTGTCAATTCTGCTTCTCCATTAGGAGACACCTAAATCCTCTGAGGTCTGAGAGCTTATTTCCTAAGAGGAGAGTGTTCAATTCCAGTTGTTGGGAATTATGACAAGGTGGACTCTTGCTCGATTTGGGCAGCCCACCCCATTTTGTACATGTTTCTTCTCTTTAGGTGACATTTCAGACCTGAGCAGTAGGGCCTCAGGCTCAAGTTGGATAGCTGTGGGGATTAAACAGTGAGCAGAAAGCCCATAAGTGCCCACTGTCTCCAACTCCCAAAAAAGGTTTATGAGTTATAGACCTCTCTTCCTTTTAGCCCCTTCTAGTATCAGCCTAGGCAGAGAGAAGTATGTGATTTAATTAAGAAAGTTTGATTTAAGTGGAGAACTACCTGCTCAAAATTATTTTCCCTAAATTTCTCACTTGCAATTTCACCACTTGGAGATTAATTTGGATTCATAAATTTTCCTCTAAAAATACAAAAACTGGAAGAGTTAGATGCCATTTTTTACAATTTAATATGGATTAGTATATCTTCCTCATACCTAGTTGAAATCAACTCCATGTGAAAATAACAATTAGGGAAGAGGAATGTGTGTGTTTTGGGCAAAGGAGGGCAACAAGAGGAATTTATAACGTTGGAACATGGAATTTAGCGCAGGATGTCAAAAACAGACTTCTTACTTCAAAATGTTGCCTAAGGGGCCGGCCCGGTGGCGCAAGCGGTTGAGTGTGCGCGCTCCGCTGCGGTGGCCCGGGGTTCGCTGGTTCAGATCCCGGGCGCGCACCGATGCACTGCTTGGCAACCACAGGCTTGGCAACCCATGCTGTGGCGGCGTCCCATATAAAGTGGAGGAGGATGGGCACAGATGTTAGCCCAGGGCCGTCTTCCTCAGCAAAAAAAA